AACAATTTAACATAAATTTATTAAAAGTTTAACAAAAATTACATGTTTAGGGCCCTATGAAATGTTTTTTTTTTTCCAACCTTATGTTTTATTGTAACCAAATTTTGTTTTAGCATGTCTAATTATTTGAAAGCATAAAACGAGTTTCATGCATTCTTTCAATAGCCTTATGATTTTTTGCTCAGAAATTCTGTGCTGTGTATTTACATTTTGTTTTAAGGCATAAACATTCATTTAATCTATCTTTTAAGTAATGAAAATTAAACAAATTTTATTTTTTGGAAAATAAAGAACATCAATTTATTAAAAGTTTAACAAATATTACATGTTTAGGGCCCTATGAAATGTTTTATTTTTCCAACCTTATGTTTTATTGTAACCAAATTTTGTTTTAGCATGTCTAATTATTTGAAAGCATAAAACAAGTTTCATTCAATAGCCTTATGATTTTTTGCTCAGAAATTCTGTGCTGTGTATTTACATTTTGTTTTAAGGCATAAAACATTCATTTAATCTATCTTTAAAGTAATGAAAATTAAACAAATTTAATTTTTTGGAAAATAAAGGTAATTTAATATTACAATTAAAATATTGAATGCTTATTCCTTAAAAATAAGGTTTTAATAAATGTAGTAGTAGTAGCAGTCTGTTACGTACATTCTACTCAACAATAGTAATATATTTCTGCCAATGCCCTCAAGTTAAACCGAACTTTTATTTTGACGGGTTGCAGTAAATACCTTTACATTTCTGTGTGTGTATGACATGATGATAGTTTTACTAAAATGAAATGGTCAAATGCTCATGAAGTGACTCTCAAAGCAGTTCTGGAGATGTTGTTCATGTATTTATGTCCTCATTAGTGAGACGGCAGATGTTAATATCACCGGAAGCGTCACGAGCGTTTCAGAACGAGTACTACACAAAACCGCGCGACTGCACCATTCATTAACACAGAGACACGCAGAATTCATATTTAAATATGAATCGTTTTGCGGGTTAATATTTACAAATACTAGTGGGAGTGGGCTAACGTGTGTGTGTGTGTGTGTGTGTGTGTGTGCTGTGCGCGATGCAGAGAGCGCGACCATAAAGTAGAGACCGAAATGACGTGCCTTTGTGTAAATAAGATAAATAACATAACGCTATTTAGTTTGCTTAATAAAAGAACAAGGTATATACCTGTTTTATAGGAAAGGTAATTAAAAATATATTAGGGCCGCCCCCCTAATATAATGGCAGGGGAAACACTGTATATGGGTCAAAGACGTTAAGATTTCCGCATTAAAAGAAATTTACAAAAGTGATTTTATGTCCATAGAAAGCACATTAAATGTAAGTAAAGTGTCTACTTTTAAGGTTTTAAAATAGTTTTTGGAGAATAAAATGTTAAAATTTGGTTGAAATAATGTTGTCATTCAGTGTAACACAATATTTATGTAAAAATTCAAACGCCATGCTTATACTGACGTGTACATATTAAAATATATAAAAGAATAAGGGAGCATATTACATTTTATTGTGTTTTAAATGAGTAAAAAATTCTTACTGACAAATGGGCAAAACCTAGGATAGTGGCAAATTTAAAAAATGTAAAATTACAACTAATTAGTATTTGGGGTGAAAGTAATTAGTCTTTTAATATGTCATAAATTGATTTTTGTTGTAAGTATGCCTGACAAGATTGTTACACTGAATGACATTTTAGTGGGAATCTTCTGTAAATCACGGAAAAATGTATGATACTTATTTTTTGCTCAGAAAAACTAAAACAAAATTGCAATTAAATTAAACAGAAAACATTTAAATTTTGGGGGGGGAAAACAACAACAATTTAAAGCAGTATTACACTTTTATTGTTTTTTTGCGTAAAGCCTTTTTCGTCTTTGACCCATATACACACACAAAGCAGTACTGTTTTGATGCTTGAAAACCACTTTTCATATATGTGATATATACACACACACACACACACACATACATACATACATGTAAATATATAAAAGTGTGCAAAGTTGGAAGAAGTGTCAAATGTCTCTGTGTAGGTGCGCACTGTGGATGAGATGAATTATGACTTTCAAGCCTTGGCTCTGGAGTCTCGTGGAATGGGTGAGGTATGTTATTAGAGTCCTTAAAAAGCCTAGTAATCCTTTTGCATCCTTTTTGACCAGTATCACAAGTGTTGAGTTCCCTGTAATACTTTAACATATGTTAACTAGTTTTTTCCTGTTGTTTGTATGAATATACTTTGCAAAAAGTGATTGGCATGTTGACCTTTTTTGCAGCTTCTTCCTGCGAAAAAATTGTGGGAATCAGATGAATTAGCAAAAGATGGACGCAAAGGGATGTTGCTGGGTGAAGAATGGAGAGAAAATGCCTGGGGTGCTTCCCGTAAGTTCTTCTAAAATGCCACCATGTTTTGATCATGAAATATAACTGAAGAAACATTCATGCTGAGATAAAATTGGACACGTTTGACATTATGCTTCAGAGAAGGCTCACTTTAGTTTATGCTAAAGGTGTACCAAATATTTGTTGCTGTTATGTTTTTTGCCTATAATTTAGTCTCCCCATATAGTTAGCACTTTATACAGCAGAGATAGTTTCAAAGCAGATTCACAGTATTAAACAGGAAAGTGACATGAATCAATGAAAACGTAAAAAATGAGGCACATACAAAATTCTGCTACAAAGCAGCTGTGGTAGCTACTGGTACTTCGTTACCAAGTTGATACCTGAATTTAAAAACTATGCCAGCCTTTCTGCTGTACCAGTTGTACAGAGTGCAGGTTCAATCCAGTATCGGCTGATTCAAACATTCCCGTATTTGTGTGAGCACTCTATGAGCGTTCCATAGTTCCATTTTTAACAATAACTGATAAACCTTAAAATACAGACCACTTGTGAGCTCAGAGGTTGTTAATTAATTGTATATGCTTTTCTTTAACCCATCTATTCGCATTAATTAAACTATTTTTATTATAATTGTGTTTAATACAATTTGTGGAGTTGGAATTTGTGGTGGAAAAACTACATTACCCATGATTAGGGTTGAAATGACTATTCAACATTATCAATTACAATGCAAAAATTGACGTCATATTTTTTAGAATAGTTTGATCTCATTTTACCTAATGTAAGGGTCTGCAATAATGAGATTTTACCACTGTGGCGCTGTAGCGCAAGAGTGTAATTCAGCCATTCCCACTAGGCTTGTCGCGATAATTAAATAACCGTCTAATCGCGATTATTTGATCTACGATTATTGTGCTTTTTATACAAGACAAGGGGGAGTCATACACCAAAAGAAACAGAAGAGCACCAGTTTGCTTTTCATGCACTATAGCCTATACAGGGCTCCAGACTCATTCTTCCCACTGGTTGCTCTTTTGCAACTAACTTTCTCAGCTGGTCGCACAGCACATGATTTGATCGCAGTATTTAAAAAAAATTGTTTTTGCGCTACAACATGGGATTATTCAATGCATGCTGATAAACTTTTATCATAGTTTATAGTTATATGGAAACGAAAGTGGTTAACATTCAACCCGTTCTTTACCATAAGTAGTATTATTTGTGATTTGAATTTTGTGAATGGGAGTTTCTCTTTTGCTGTGTTAAGCTGCGGACTTCGGATGCTTTCACTTTCGAATTCGTGATCTTGTTGGCACTGTTTTGCTACAATCTACACACCTTTCATTTTTTTAAGACTAAAACAAAAGATGGATTCATTGTTATTCTCAATTAAAAAGCACAACAACAATAAATCAGTAAGATACAATGACTAACTAGCTTACAAAATGTTTATTAACAAAAACGAATAAGATGGCATGGCACACACCACATGCCGTATTATATACCGACTAATAAATTACAGAACGGTTAGCAAACTCTGAGGAATCAAATAAATAAAAGAGAGCCTCTATAGTGTAATGTGAGGTAAACAGCAAAGATAAGTTTTTCAAAAATGAAAACAAAAAGAAAAGTAAAACTAACGGTGACAGTGCTTGCATGTTTTTTCCCCCCACAAGAATACCAGCATGTTCACCTTCTCTGGTTTAAGAAGCGGTCTTTTACTTGACTTTCGCTTGAAAACCATCCATCGTTTCCTCAATATGCGCGT